TTTTCCTACACTTTTCAGAAATATTTAAAATTGTAATAATTTTTAATTCTAAAATTTTTTTACTGGTAAATATAGATGTAAGTATTATTAAATAATTTAAACTCTGCTACTGTATAAAGACTTCGAATTGGATATTTAAAATAAAAAAGTGCATATTTCTCCTGTAATTGAATAAGTTTTTTAACTTCAAGAATCTCCAGTGCACTATTAAATTAAAAACTTTATTTTGTTTTATTTGCAAATTTTTTTTAAAACAAAACAAGTAATTGAAAAAAGAAAACAAGTAATCTAAAAAAAGTAGTCGGAGCAAAAATATGTATGCTCAAAGAATTTTTGACAAACTATTAAATTGACACATATTTATTAAACTTTATCTCTCTTGTTTTATTTAAAAATTTTTTTAAAGTAAAACATTGAATTAGGGCAAAAATATATGAGGTAAAAAAAGTTGAGACTCGAGAAAATTACAATTTTCGTATGAGTTTGTTTGGTTTTTGAATTTCATTTAAAATATTTGAAGTTAAATGCCATTTATTTTCAATGTGACGTAGTTTAGAAATTACTAAAATAATAATAATTTTAATTTCTAAAACCTTTTTACCAGTAAATTCTAAACGTAAGTATTATTAAAAAATGCAAAATGCATGGGAGCTCTGCCTACGTATCAAGGCTTTGAACTGGACATCTAAAATCAAAAAGTGCACATTTTCCCTATAATTGAATCAATTTTTAAACTTTAAGAATTTCTAGCTCATTATCAAATTAAAAACTTTATTTTGTTTTAATTGCAAATTTTTTTAAAGTAAAACAAGTAATTGAAGAAAGAAAACAAGTAGTCAAAAAAAGTGTTCGGGGAAAAATATATGTGCTCAAAGAAAAATAGTTGTAACTTGAGAAAAATCACTCTTTTCGAATGAGTTTGATTAGTTTTTGAATTTTACTTAAAATATTTGAAGTTTAAAATGAAGTGAATGAATTGAGAGTCTTAAAAATTGAGAAAAAAACATTGAAATAGATCTAACTGCATAGTTTAATATTAAATTATTAAAGAAAAAATGTAAATATTTTTGCTTAAATATTGATAGAAATGACAAATTCAAACCTGGACTTTAGTTTTTAGTTCAAAATGCTGTTGACATTAGATAAAATCGACATTCAAACTTTCAAAATACTCTATAATGAATTTTTTATTATTTTTTGTTTGTTTTTGTATTAGCGTATTTTGTGTTAGCGTTAAGAAATTTTCTCAAAATCAAATTTCTTCAAGAAATGCTTTTGAAATTAAAGAAAGTTCAAAAATATACGAAAGTTCTGACAACAAAAAAATTAATAATTCGAAAATTTTTTCTGAAATTGAATTTTTTTTTGAAAATATAACCTATTCAAATAATTATTGGTTCAAATACTCAAAACAAAATAAAAATTTTAGTTTCGTTTTCCTGAGTTTATTTCCAGTTTCAGTTTCGACTGTCAGCATACGAAAAGACAACTGTAACTTCATTTCTAAATCTCGGAAGTAAATATTTTAAAAGGTTTTGGAAAGCTAATAAACTAATCTTTAAATATTGATAATAATAAGAACAATAATAATAACAATAATAATAATAATGATAATAATAACAATAAAAATCTAAATTTTTTATTTTTACTCAGTTGGATTACTTGAATCATTTTCATAAGGTGAAGTGACATATAAATTTGCTTTTTATTTTATAATTTTTTTTTAATATTTGGCAATTAACACTTTCTTTTGATAAAAATTTTTAACTGCAGTTGAAAAAATAAGTTCTTAATAGTTATTATAGGATTATTTGTGAAAGTGTTTTTAAGAGGATAAAAGTTTCCACTTATATTACTTTCAGTTTGTATAAAAGGATTTATTTTGTGATTCACAGACTGTGTTTATCAATGAAAAGGGTCACTAAAGCTGTGTTCTTCAACGATATGATAGATTCATTAAAACAGGATTATAAATATTTTTTAAAAATATTTATTTTTTAAAAATATTTATTTTTTAAAAATATTCATTTTTCTACATCATGAATTCAAATCCAACAATATATATTTTGTCATAGATTAGATTGACGTCATTTAAATCAAAGTTGAGTTAAAATTAGTTTTTCTACTAAATATCTTATAAACCCTTTCACATGATCATAATCATGTTTTGATTATGCATAAAAATGAATCGTGATAATTGCTTTATGAGTTAATTCATAAAAATGGAAAAATACCAAACATATGTCACATTTATATAGTATTTTAAATTTTGAATGTAAGAAATATAAAAGCATTATAATTTAATAAAATTAAATGTTTCGCAATTATCAGTAATGAAGAGTAAAAAGTGATTGCAATACTCAGTCTTGAAGTTAAAAGTTAAATCAAATTGCGAAAATAAACTTTATAAAAACTATGAGTTTTAAAACTATTTCCAATCTTTTTTTAAAAAATTCTTTCTTTGATCTTCAATTTGAATAGAATAAAAAATAAAAATACTAGTTTTCAAAAAAGATTAGAATTTTTTTTAAATATTTACTTATCAAATATCATTTTCAGGCTTTATATTTGAAGAATTAATACGATAGTTTACAAAATAAAAGATACTTTAAAGAATTAATATAATTTAGATAGATAGAATTAGATAGAATTTAGATAGAATTTAGATAGATAGATAAACAGATCGATAGAGAAAAAGAGAGAGAAGACATCTCAAATTAAACGATTCTTTTTTCAAATTGGTTTTCAAAATATTATAAAGATTATTTATAAGTTAATAAAACAGGCTTGGAATTGCTTGTATACAATAAAAATCAATAGGCATCAACAAATTTGGCATGATGGTTCAAATATAAATTAAAATAATTATTTTGAAAAACATTTTTCCACAAGACGCAACAAAATTATAAAATTGTGAAATTTGACTTTATAATAAATTGCGAAAAATAAGCTACTCAACAATGGCAACCACTCTCGAATTTTTTCCTAAATTTTAAATGTCTCACTAGAATTTCAATTTTAATCAATAAATAATAAGCTCGCAATCTTTTAGGTAACAAAATAAGCTCGGTACTTTAAAATGTTCTGGCCTAATTAAGAATTCCTGAGAATCCCTTTCAAAGAATGACGAAACTCTGAGTAAATGGATCTCATTCTAAAAATAGACATGTTAAGACAATATCTTTTCTTAAAAGGCAGATAAAATAATGTAAAATTGATAAATACACATCATTACTTCAAATAGTAGAATAAACACTTTCATTGACAAAAATATTTTTTAGAGTTGACAATTTATTTTACACAATGGCAATATATACAGGCAATATAAAGGATTAGCGGCAATCACAACATTTTAAGATTATTTAATTTGATTTAAAATGATTAAAGTTATGTTTAATAACTAAAATAGGAATGTGACAAATTTAACATAGTATTAAATAAATAATCCTTAGGAATTGAAATGGTACGATATTATTTGATTAGAAACTTCATTCCCTTCAAAAATGTATAAAATGGACGTAATAGTCGACATGTTTCAAGCTCTCAAAAACTGTCGCTAATCTTCAAGACTTGCCAGACGTGCATGAGAAGAAACAAGAGTGATTTGAAATGGAAACCGTGAAGTTGTCAATGAAAATGGAAGAATAAATATGATAAACAAAGCTAGAAAAATCACAGTAAACGAGAGAAAAAAAAGATAAAACACAGAATAAGGAAATCCACAGTTAGCGAGACGGGCAAATCAGGGTAAAATAACGTTTCCACGCACTATGAAGAGGTGGTGAAGAACTAATGGCATTAACATGGTAATCAGCAATCATATGAATTGAAAAAGATTTCAGGGCACCAAGAAGAGCTGATTTGACTGGGATGGAAATAATTAGTTGGATAAATTTTTCGTTGGTAATTTTACTTGTTCTATTTCAAATCATTTTTGCTTCTTCTCATTCAAGTCTGGTAAGTCTTGAAAATGGGCACCAAATTTTAAGCGCTTGAAAAATGTCGACTGTTATTTCCATTTTGTATAATTTTGAAAGAAATGAAGTATTTTACATAGTATTCATTTTAATATTGTTTTTAATGCTCAAAACATGAAAGAAAACAAATATAAAATAAGGGGAATATTTTAGAAAGTGAACTAAAGAATTTAATTAGTTCGTTTTCACTTTATCAAAATATCTCAAGTAATGTTTGTTAAATTATAAATGAAGGAAAGGGAAGAAAAAAAAGAAACAACGATAACAACAACAACAACATACAATAATTTATATTATAGAAAGTAAATTGGAGGTAAATGACTGACAGTGCAAAAGAATTAAATAATAATAATTAAAAAAATTATACCCTGAATATTTTTGACTTAATTTATCGGATTCTGAAAGACTTATGCTTAACTTTTCGCTATTATAAAAGACTATGCTTAACTTTTAAAATTACATATTTTAGTTAATTTAAATGATAACATGCGAATGTTTCATATTGCAAGTAGTCATAACACTAAAAAAATTACATAATTAAATCTTCTTCAAATAAATAAATGGTGAATCCTAAATTTTGATTAAATAGCGCCTTTATTGATTAAATTTTTTTTGCAGTAAGCTTACACAAACAAGCATTCAACGTAAGTGTTTTCGCGCAACAAACAGTGGTGATGTTTTGATGCATCTGCACAAACACTTGATCTTACATAATACGGGTATTCGAATTTCAAATCTGAAATAGATTGATCCTTAAGCTACACCTTTTTAATGACATTTTTAGCCTATTTTTTTGTCAAAATGTTTGAATTTATAACAGTAGTTACAATAGAGGGTTTCGTAAATGTTGCTGTAAGCTTCTAGGGGAGTTAAGGCACATCATCAGGATTAAAGCTGCAGAGGAATCCATACATGGAAATGTGGTCACACGTGGCTAGGGACACTTTTACCCTATTATGACTTGTTGAGAAGTTCAAATTGGGGAAGCGCCGCTAGCGGTGTATGACGACTTTTCCGGATATGAGTTCCTATGCAATTTTAATCCTGATGATGTGCCCTAATTCCCTTAGAAGTTAGTCACAACAAGTACGTGACTCATTGTTATATGTAACGCTTTTAAACTTGTATAATTTGATAAAAAGTAGACCAAAAATGTCATTTAAAAAAAAATTATAGCCAGGAGAGAGAAACCGAATGCAGATTTGAAATCCGCAATGTAAAATTATCTAAGATCTGTAAAAAATATTCATACAGCAGAGAACAAAAAATATTTGTTAATCAGTGTTAGATAAGCAAAATAAAGTTATTAAGAGGATCGATCTTTTGTGAAGATAATGTTTGGGCTTAGAATAAGGAAAATTAAAGTAGAAAGTCATAAAAATAAAAAAATTTCGCGAGAATGTTTTCCCTTTTGAAAAATGTATGAATCAGTATACAGACAATAAGTAGAAAAATATTGAAAAAATAATTGTAATTTGCTTTACTAAACTGAAATAGGCTTTCATTTGGTAATTCATTTATAAAAATTCAATGAATTTAATATATTACAATTTAAGAAGATTTTACAATAACAATAACAACATTTAACATTCAACAATAATCTTAAATAGCTCTTCGTAATTGGATAACATGTTTTTTTCTATACCCTTTCTTCGCTTTCTATAAATTACTACTGTTTTCCGGGATTTATTTTTGAATTTATAAAAATATTTCAATGTGTAGGGGCCGGGATAGCCTGGTTGGCAGGTGCTGGACTTCCATTCGTGAGAACGAGAGTTCAAATGCAACTGTCCTAAGACAGTAGTAAATGATGACTGGTGCACGTTTAATCTGTCAGGTCATAAAGTCCTCCATGTTCCCATAAAAAGTTACATGTCTAGGGGTACTGAATTAGAGATTGATCGTCCTCTGGTTCAGGTCAAAATTACTATCTGTGGATGAATTAATGGGTCTGCTCTATAAAAGGGTGCGTCTTATTAGTGTCACAGAAGCTGAATTCTTGACCATAGATGGCACCACTGGAAAACAAGAATGACCAAAGGCAATGACCAAATGAGGCCTCAATGACCAACGACTTCAACAACATTCGAATTCTGAAACGTTGTTACATACAAGATTTGTAAGGGTTTAAGATTTTATTCATAGCTAAATTTTAAAACAACCTATGAAAGATCTGAAAAGCTGTTGTCAGAAAATATTGTTCTGGATGTTGTAAAACAATCTATCCACTTCAATTTTCTTGAAGGAATAAACTGCTTTCAAAACAATGCATGCTTTTTAAAAGTTTAAAGTTAGCATTTCAAAAAATGAAAGTTTGAATTGTTTGAATGCGAACTTTCAAAGAGTAGTATACTATATTGTACAGTATATCATTTTCATTAAAATTAAGATATAAATATACTGATATGAGATCATTTGTACTTTAAATAAGAACATGAAACTGCACTTCCTAAAACTTTTTTTTCAACATTTCATTAAATTAAAATTTTCTTAAATATTGTCACAGTTAAAATTTTATATGCAAAAATTTTACTTTGCATTGTGTTTCTCAATTAATTCATTAGTGTCCTGATTAATAATTACGTTAAATTGAGATTTTTAAAATATTGACACAATTACAATTTTATATTCAAAGACATTAAATGAAGGAGATTGATGATTTCATAATTTTCGTGATTCATAATTACATTAAATGAAATTTAAAAAATGTTGACACTTTTGAAATTTTATATGCAAAGACATTACTTGGGAGAGCGCTTCTCAACCATTTCTTCATTTTCTGGATCTAAATCTTCAGTGCCGTTCGACTCTTCACTGCTTACAGAATTTAAACAAATAACTGTGTCACTATTCTCATTTTCTTCAACAATTTTTTCAGCACAACTCTCCGAAAAACCACTGTCTTTTCTTTTGAAAATATGAGTTTTTTTTCCTGAGGAATTAGGAAATGCTTTCTGCATTATCATTCCAAAATCTTCTAATTTAACTTCTGAGAAAACAGTTTCGAAAATGTCATTGTTTGGAACTTCACGGAAAACAGATGACAATTCATTTTGGGTATTATTCTCAACTTTGTTCCTTAGATTATTCACTATTCTATTAATTGATGAAGAAGTATTTTCATGATTGTTGTTAGGGGAATTCATATATTTCAGACTTTTTGGTAACCTTTTGCCAGATTTTAGTGCATTGCAATTTTTGAGAAAAGCTATTTCTTCAGGAATGTTCAAATGCTTATGACCACTGGTAATAGAACTATGTTCAAAATTTGAGTTTGATAAAATACTGTTACCTTGTCTACTTCCATCCAATTCACTGCTGCATTCAATTTTCACTTTATTGGCGAGTGCAAAACGTCTGTCGATTTCGTTGTTGTAGTTAACAAAATCAATGAAACTGTTTTCATCTGAAATTTCGGAAAGATTAATACTGTCTAGATAATGTTTTTGTGCACCATTGAGCTCATTTAGATATATGTCATCAATTCTTAAGTTAACTTCAGGAAAAACCGAATCTGTTAGATGCCACTCTGTTTCGTGAGATGGCTGCTCATTTAAATCATCAAACTCAGGCATACTGAAATCATAGGTATCGTTTAAGAGGATCTCTTCGTCAGAAAAGAAAAACTCGTTTTGTTGATTTTCTGAAGTAAAGTTAAGTTCATTAAGAGTAGAAACATCTTCATCTAAGTCAAAGCATCTAGAATCATAGTAAGAATCAAATTGTTGGGTGATTTCTGGAGATGATTGAATTGATGAATCAGTGTTGGAGAAATCAAATGTTTCGGAGTCGTATACATTTTCAGGAACACAATTATCATCTGAGAAGTTATCAAAAGTTGCTGCAAGATGCATGGAACTCACATCAAGCATTTCCAAATCTTCGGGAGTATTATTTTTGATGGAGATGGTATAATGCAACTTATTTATGTCTTTCATATCCCTTATACTGTCTACAACTTTTTTGTTGATTGTATTACTTAGTGAACTTTGGAAACAATGATTTTTTCCATCTTCTTCACACTCATCTCTCACTTTTACCTTGAAGTCAAAGGCATTAGAATCACTGTTCACAGACCTAAAGCAGTCATAATCACTTGCCAATTCATAACTTATACTTTCATTTTCCCTTGAGTTTCCTTTATAGATTTCATCTAATTCCATTTCACAAAAACTTTCCGATGTAAATTCACATTCAGTTTTGACAGCATCTTCCGTGGCCATAATAGCATAATCTTCTCTCCACATCTTACGTAGAATTGCTTCAACTTCTTGCTCACATTTCTTTAATACTTCTGGGTTACATTTTTCTTTATCCGTAAAACTTCTAACAGAAGAAGATGGAAAGATGGCACTTGAAAATGTGTCCAAAAGGGGCGATGGTTCAATTTTGGCATCGTCAAAACCTAATAGAGTAACATCTTGATCCCAAAAAACATCATTTTGCCTAGTATTATTTAACTTATGCATTTCTAAGTGTGATGAATTCTCATTTCCGGCAGTTCTATTCAACATGTCCATTTTATTTTCCTCTTGGTAGGCATTACTTTCTAAGATCGAATTTTTCACGGGTTCATTTATGTCTCTAATGCTTGTCTCATTTTTTGAAATCGCATGATCTAAATTGCCAATTGTATCATTGCTGAACAGTCCGGATAAGTTCATTTCTCTTGACAATGATTTTGTACGATCTGGGTAGTTAGTGATCAGTTTGTCATAGTTAGATTTCAAATTGATTTCAGATCCCGCAACGCTTTCTTTCTCGTGCGATTGCTCATTTGTCTGAAATAAACGAGAAGATAGATTAAAAAACACTTTATCATCCAAATTAGCTGTTTTTGAATCAGAGTTATTGTCAAATTCTGCAGTATTAGTTGATTGAAACTCAGTAGATTTATTTAAAAATTCAAATTTTGATTCAGAGGAATTAATCGGTTGGTTTTCATAAATTGGAACGTTAATAAATTCTGATTTGTCGTAAATGATAGTTTTTGAGTCTGAGGTATCCGTAAAATCAACTATTTTAGAATCATTTGTAGATGCATTCATATATTCTGACAAGCCGGAACTATTTGAATATTCAGTAGTATTAGTTGTTACAAAACTTCCACTTAAGTGGTGAGCACTAGTGAAACATCCTGAACCAGTTAAAGGTAGTATCGATCTGTAACCAGATTTTACATCACTTTCATTTAGATGACAGTCAACCGCGCCATTTTCTGTAGATACATATTCAATGAATGATTTGTTGCTATGTTGATTTTCTGACATGCAAAGATTTCTAGAGAATAAATCAGCATTAAATTGAAATTGTTGTGGATAATGATTGATTCTCATAACATTGGATCGATCAGTTTTATCAGTGTTTGGTGGGGAATCATTCAAGTATGAATTGTTAGTCATTGGAGTGTTAGAACAATATTTCAGATCCGTAATCTGTAAGCTTCTATAATTTCTTAGATCGAATTCTGACACAGTCTTAGACTTTATAAATAAATCAGCTGACGCAGTTGTAGTTGACGCAGCAGAGCTCCATGCTGGTGTACTCATTAAGTTTTCTTGAAAAGTAGAGAAGTTGTCTCTTCCTAAATAGGGCAAGTTAGGAAGAGATGCTCTATTAGTGAGTAATTGTCCAGAATTATAAATCATAGGGTGTCGAATTCTTGTTCTATTTCTGCGCCGTGAACGGCTACTTCTTCTTCTAGGCGTATTCTGAGAACCAGCCACAGGGTTCATTTGCCAATAGGAGCATCGGTTTGTAGTTTCAATGTCATCAGGTTGAATCCGTTGGAATCGGTTATGCAAACTCAAGTTGTGGCGAATTGAATTCTGAAAAATGAAATTTATATTAAAATCCGTAAAAAGAACTGACAAAAGTAATTGAAGGGATAACTGTCACATCATACTTTAAAATCGTTTCAAATAAACTAAATTTTTATCAAAACTTTATTAGTTCTTGAATTATTATTTCTTTTCTTGTTTTATTTATTTAATTTTTTTTTGTAAAGTGAGGTGTCTGCTTTACACCCCCTCTGCCCACGTAGGCCATTCAAGGGTGCTAACTCACTCAGTACGAGTTGGGCCATGAAATAGATGGTTAAATAGATCGTTTTAGACTGTGCCTCGACAGGTTATAGTCACTGGGACGCTGCTTTCCCGACGGAAAAATCTTTCAAAAATCATTCTTTAACTCTCACGCTAAAATCAAAAACTCATTTCTAAGCACCTTTGCTTCATAGTAAGCACTTTCAACTGTGATGGAATACTGGGATGTATCACAGTTTTATTAATTACATTTCAATTGTCTTTTAGAGTAAATTGATATATTAAACTCATAATTTAGTTTTTCTTCGCATAAAGCATACATTGAAAAATTTTGAGAATTACGATATAATATTATAATTTAAATATTACAATTCAAATTCGTAATTTCATAATAGTTTGGCTATAATGTATATTAAAATTATGCAAATATAAGCATTTTGCCAGATATTCTTAGTATGTAATAAGCTAGTGATGCAAATGAGTAATGAAACTTAGCTAAGAACTATTTTCCCGATAGATATCTTTCATGGGGAATAGGTGCTGGGTCATGCGCTGGCGTTGTTGTTAGGGTAATGAAACTATGTTTTGTTCACTAAAAAGAAGTGGTGTGTATAAAAGATTTTTTTTTCTACAATAAAATGTCGATAATATTTAGTGGTCAGGGATATCCTAGTTGGTAGGGCAGTGGGCTCATGTCCAAGAAGTCGTGGGCTCGATCCACTCCGATCGAAGACTCCCCATTTAGTAAATGGCGACGGATGCACGTTAAATCTGTCGAGTCACAAAGTCCTCCATGCTCCCATACCAAATCATGCCTCTGGGGGTACTGAGCCAGGAGTTTTACTTGTCTTCTAGATTGGTTCAAAATTACAAGGCAGCTGAGTTGAAAATTAGTAGTCGGAAACCCGAAATTGGGTCAGCTGTTCAACGACGGTTATAAAATAAAATATAATAATTAGTAAAAGAGTTTCTGAGTAACTAAATTTTATAACCGTCGTTGAACAACCCACTCAATTTTCGGGTTTATGACTCCCAACGTTCAACTCCGTATCCTTGTAATTTTGAACCCAATCCAGAAGACAAGGGAGCTCGGAGAACGAGTATTAGGAGAAATTTTCCTTCGTGGAAGAGGTTTCGATGGAACTAACCCGCATTTGCGCTACATGGTGAGGATAACCACAAAAACCTCCCATGGTAAGCCTGACGGCAAGGGGAATCTAATCCATGATCCGTCAACCACTGAGGCTATTTTACGTCAACACTGTGGTTGGTGCAAGCCGGGTGCTTGGATTGAACCCAGTTCACATCACTGGAAGGCGAACGCCAAAAATTTCCTTTTGTGTTATCACACCATTTTACTAATTCTTACGTAAAATGGCCTCCTGAATCCAAATATGACCTTGCAACACTTAGTGAAAAATTTCAGGTCAAACTATGGTAAAAAATACTGGCACTCAGGGTGCGGGTACTTTTTTTCTCCGTAAAATCCCTTTTTACCGGAACATGTTACAGAGCAAAAATCTGATATACCGTAATTTTTACAGTAATAATGACAGTAAAATAACTAAATCATTCTAATTAAATAAATATTACTGTAAAAATTACGGTATAAAAATTTTATGGTAAAATAGATCTCATGGATGATGCTCCCAAAGACGTAATTTATTCCTGACCGTACATTATACCGTAAATTATTCCTGAATTTTTCATAGTGTACTCACAGTTTTATGGTAACATCCCCTATATTTACCACTTCTTAAAAATTTATTAATGATTATAAATTTGTTTTGAAAGAAGAAAAAAGCATTATTTTTATCGTTAAAGTTCATATGAGGAATTAGGGAGGTGATAAAGTCTGATCAGTAAGTAAGTAGCGACACGTTGGTGTTATTTGCCTCTTTAAATTAATAATAGTAAAACAAAATCATAAAAAATTAACTTCTAACTTTTTCTCGCAACTTATATTCTTTAATATTTCTGAATTCTTTTACTTATTTAAATTTCTGACTTTTTCTTTGGAACCCTAAGCACCCTCTAATAATAATAAATATTTAGTAATAATTTTGATCAAAAGCGGGTAAGGGGGCCTAGTTCTTCAAGATTCACAATAAGAGGGACTTCTTATCTTTTCTCAACCTTTTTTTTCAACCAAAATTGTTAATAAATATTTTATCGTTAAGGGAGGATTTGGAGATGAAAATGGAGGCTATATTCTTGCATATCTGGAAAATTAGTTTAGAAAAAATTGCTACCGGAACAAAAAAATTGATTCTTTTTAAAAAAAAAATTAAAATTAATAGGGGAAGAACACTCCTAAAATCTCCTTGTTGGAACTCGTCACATCTTAGAACTTTTTTTCTCTCTACTCCCTCAGAAGAATTTTAATGCTTAAATTTATAATTTTTCCCCCTAGAAGAGGGCCCCGAGCTCTCACGAATACGTTAGGAAGATTTTCTATAACAGGACTTTTTGAGCTCTTGTCTATCCCACTTTTCTACAAAGTGTTGGCCAAATATTTTTGCTATTTAAAAGATCTAAGAGATAATTGAGAGGGAGGAAATCTAGAATATGTGGAAAATAAGTTGTTAAAAATCTCCTGAGAAAATGATAAATTGTAATGATTTTTTTTAACAAATAAAGAGGGGGGATAATCCTCCTAACACATCTAGTTTCTTTACTACCTCTTCATTTTTTAGAACTTTTTACTTCTCTTGCCTCTCATAAGAAGTTTAACGGTAAAAATAATATTTTTTCCTTCTTCAAATTAAATTCATGGCTACAAAAGTATCAAAAAGTAATCAATACAGTTGTGAGGGGATATGTCCCCAGCAAACGTTGGGTATTGGGGGAAAACGAGGGTTATATTTGGATTCAGGAGGCCATTTTACATAAAAATAAGCTGAAATGGTGTTAGGCTTATTTTCATGCAGCGTTGTTTACAATAATTTTCATTTCAATGGAAATTTCTCGTCAAATTGACGAGTTTTAAAAGTTTAATAATTTGTTTTTCAAAATATTGTACCTAAATATCCGTTTAAAAGTCCATATAATTTTTTAACGGCAAGATGGTAAATATAGTTTTAAGTTATAGTCTTGATTCGAGTTTAATGCACTTAAACCATGAATATTTTTTCCTCCGGTTAAAAAACTTGGAAAGAATGTAGCCTTGTTTTTAACACCCTAAAAAAGATTTTGAAGGGTTCTAATTCCCAGCTCACCTTTGTCATAGTGAAAGATCAACGGCAATCATTATTAATCTGGGCTACAAATTATGTAAAGTGCGCAATAATATTAAAAAGTGGAACACCATGAATAACTTTTGATCTAATGATCGAATCTTCACGCTCTAAATTTCAATCTTAATGGTTCGAGGAGTGGGTGACTTCAAATATGTTAATTAGTGCTGAGGATATTTTAAGATACTAAATTAGACACAAAACCGTAGGTTCTCCAAGTAAACATAATTTTTTCAATTTATTCGGACTGCCCCCAAAATACCAGGGGCAGCCACAATCTGGGAAATATGGTCCCCATAGTTTGGTCCGGAATGCGATCCAAAGTTTGGATCCCTTAATGATAATTTTACTTTTTGTGTATTTCGCCATATCTCCTGAAGTTTTTAAGCGAATTGAAAATTTTTTGCACATATAAAATTTGTTTATCCAAAGATAATTCCATGCAATAAACGCTTTTAGTAATTATTTATTACTTTTTATAATTTCATTTAATAGTAGTCGAAAATTTTTTGAATCATAACGCATACAATTTTTAAATAATGTTAAAGAATGCAGTTTGATATGGTAAAATGCAGAATTTCAGTGAAATCGGTAGTGAAGTTCCTGAAAAATCAAATTTTAAAAGTCGTATTTTTTTTAAAATTACGTCTTTTATGAAATATGAGAGAACGTGAAGATCCGATCATTAGATCAAAAACTATTCAGAGTGGTCAGTTTATTCTCTATTTTTTTGTGCACTGCACATAGGAAAAATATGAAAGAATAATTAAGTTGTCAGCAGATAATTATATTTCTGCCATCAGTTTGACATAGTTCAGCGGTCCCCAAATGGTGTTTCGTGGAACCCTAGGGTGCCGTGAATGAATCAAAGGGGCTCCGAAATAATTTTTGAACAGTTTTTCTTAACCTTTTTGAGATCTGCAATTATATTTAGATCCAGTCAATAATCCATTATTTGCTTATTATTTATATTGATTATACAAATTTATTTAAAATGAAATGCCAGTAAAACAGAAATGGCAACTTTTTTTAATAACATATAATTATCAAAAGGACATATTTTTATAAAAAATTGCTATAGCATTTCACATTGCGCTTCTCAAATCAAAATAATTCGCTGATAAAGAAATATGTTACCCTAATAACCATTTTCAACCTTTACAGCAGCTCTTCTTATTTTTCATTTTAAAGCAATACAAAAACCAATTTTTAACTAAACTCGATCCAGCTCCAAGACTGCGAAGTCAACTGTCAAACATGAAACCAATTTAAGATTATTAGTGATAAAACGATGAAGAAAATTCATTCGTCTTTCAAAAAAAAAAAAAAATCTTTAAGTCAAATAAAGTAGTATTTTAATGTTTAATACGTTCTCAATTGCCTTCGTTTATTTTATTTCTAAAGCTGATGTTCCGTAGGGAGAAGATTAATTATTTAGAGATCCGTAGGCGAAAAAAATTGTGAGCCGCTGGCATAGTTAACTCTCTCTCTTTCTCTTTTGCTTTAATAAAAAAATAATAATACTTTGTTCTGAACTTTGTTGTGAAA